AACTCCGGGATAGGTGACCCTCACAAAGTCACTTAACCTAAAAAGGGGTTGTGAGAAATTGTAAAAAGAATTAAAAAATAATAATTTTTTCTCATTGTTGGTTGGTTCAGTGGTTTCTGGTGCTAGACTTGGTAGGGAGGTTTACGACTCGATCCCCCACAACCATAATTGGGTCATTTGAGGGGTTACCAACTTATGTACCAGAACCCCATGCTTGAGATCAGAGTCACTAACCGGTCATTCTTCTATGAGTATCTGTGAGATAACAGGCTTAATGTGATTGCGCCTGAATGAAAAAGATTTGAAAATTAGGCCTATGTGTGATGGTTTTGAATGGATCAATTTGTATAGGATTGATGTTTGTGTCTGTATTCTTGCAGAATGTGTTGTCACGATACCCTTGGTTCACCTGGCTAGTAACAATCATTACATCCTGCTTTAAACTTAGAAGCCCTTTTTGCCCAAATTGTTTGATAATATTGTTTCTCTTTGTTGAGCTATAGAGTTTTTTGCTTGAGGACAAGCAAAGGTCTAAGTGTGGGAGAATTTGATAACACTAAATCGCACTGCATATTTGACTCAATTCACTGATGTTTATTAGGTTTTTATTGTTATTTTCTTGTGTTATGTTTGCATTTTGATTTGTTTTTAGTTTTTTTTTGTCTTTCCTAAGCCTTGCTTGAAGAAATGAAGAAAAACGAGCTAAAAATCAAGATTTTGGAGTTTGTGCACTTGTGGCCTCCACCATGGCGCCCGCCATAGGGTTAGCCATGAGGTGGCCACCTTCATCCAACTGCCAAATGCCATGTTCTCCACTAATTCTTCATTTTTGGAGTATGGCGGCCGCCACACCCCCATGACAGGCGCCACCTTTGCAAATTTGCTTCCTGCTCAAAAGAAGTTGGAAGGCATTCTTGTGATTTCCAAAATCCTCTTAGGCCTATAAATAGAAGTGATTTTAGTTCTTCTTCTTCATCCAAGCTTAGTTGCGCTGACTTAAGCCATATATTGTCCAATTGTAAGCGGGAATATCTTCACATCGAAGAGTTATCACACGAGTCATTGAGTTTGTAATCAAGTTTGCAACACTTTACAATCTTGCCGCCATTTTAATTCAAGTTTCCTTTATTTTAGTCAAATTTACCTTCCAGACAAGTTGCTTTAAAGCCCTCCGTTTGGAGCAGGTTTCTATTTAAGTTTCCGCATTTATCGCACTTATTTCCTTGCACTTGCTTTACTCTGTCTAGTTTCTCACATCTCACTTACTTTGTTTATTTTCTCACATCGCATTTACTTATCTTTTAACCTTTTTACTTTCTGCTTAAACATGATTTGCTTTAATAAGTTTATTTCCATGTCTGGCTAATTTCCTGTAGGGTTAGAATGTAATGATCATGGTTAAGCTAACTGTCTAAACATTGCATCTGTAGGAATACTTTAGGGGTTGTTTTGGTTTTTAACACAAGCTTTCTGCACTTTATTTTCTGTTGGGTAAGATCGAAATTCGTCCAACCATTGATAAACTTGGTTAGTCTTAATTGCTCAAAGAGAGCAAAAGTGTTTTGTTCAATTAAGTAAGAACCTTTAACTTTTTAGAAGAAATGATTTCAAAACCTTTTTCGGACACGTTTATAGGTTTAAAAGTCTAATCATCTCTTGGTTAGAAGTTCAGAGTCAAAATCACTTTTCAACTTAGTCAAGTAACTATATTTCTTAAAAATAGGTTTATTACTTTAACGCAATACGCACCTTTTATCTGTGACAATAAAAAGGCATTATTTAAAGAATAAACTCGATTTTGAATACGCGAAAGCGACAGTTCCTGTTAAATTAGTTCTTTTCAAAGTAGGAAATATTTCCCTATAAGTAGTTATATTAGAAGCATTTTAGAGTATTATCTGACTATTGTGATTTGCATTTGAACCCATTACTTTTATCTGAATTAACATCTTTTACTTTATTTACTCTGCCTACTATAAAACCCTGATTTGATATGCCTTAGATAAACATAGTGATAATAGAATTTGATAGATTAACGTTTTGGTCTCTGTGGGATCGATAATCTTTTATATTACTCTGACGCGATTCGTATACTTGTGAAAATAACGCATCAATTAACCAACCTGGATTGTTCATTTTGATCAATTTGAAATTCAGTGCACAATTGCACTTCAGCTGCACGCCATGCCACTTCTTCTTCATATCGTTGATTTTTTTGAAGCTGCATGTTCTGAAGCATAGTCAGGATTTCAGAATTATTTCCTATATCAAAAACGTACCTATTTTCTTGTGAACCATCATCATAATCATAAGAACCCACCATCATAGCCTCTATAGTTTCCTCCCTATGCAGTCCAAGAGTTTTGCTACCAATTTCAGTCCAAGGTTGCTCATAGTCATGTTGTTAAGCAGCAATTGCATTCATCCAGATTTCATCTTCCTCATGATTTGCACCTGCCATGGGAATGTCTCAATGAGGAGCACCACTTATGTCTTTAGGACCGTCATCATTCCCTTGATCATCAACATCATCATAATATTTAGCAGGACCATCATAATTGTAAATTCTTCACTTTGTCTGATGGATCTGATAATAGTATTCTTCTCTTTCTGAGACCCAATGGTATCTCATATTTGTCATGGTTCTCTTGGATAATTCCAACATAGTATTTGGGTAAACCAATGGAAGATTTGGGAAGCCTATATTGAAGAAATTAAGAATTTTTGCTATCATGGACGGGTAGCTAAAGGCAGTCCCTTTGTTACACTTCTTGATGGTGAACATGCATCCAACAAAATAGCATGGCCAATTTATCTTAATATGATTAAGTAGAAGATAAACCAGATGTATCTCATAATTATCTTCTCTTGAGAAACCACCACCCTTAGGACGCAAAATATGTATGACAAATCGGTGCAATATTTGGGGCGATCTCTTGAGGCAGCCCGTAGTAATTGGTTCATTATTGGTGTTATCACATAGAGCTTTCAAATGTTCATTAGAGTGCATTATCCATTTTAAATTAGGATGGACACTTGAATCCCTAACCTTTGGTTCATTCCCTGTTGTAATTCCAAAAAGAGTGTGCCACATATCATTTATAGCAGTAAACATTTTACCTCCAATCTCAAAGGTGAATTCAGCATTGTCTCTCTTGCATAATTCCACACAAAAGATACCAATCAAATCATCATTTTATTATTGATTTAACTGCATGAAGTAGTTTATACCTTGGTGATCTAACCTGCTAATAACCTCAGAGATATGGAGTTCTTCAGTTGTGCTCACTTTATAATAATGTTGTTTAGCAACCATTCTTGCACAAAATTTTTCTTCAAAGAATTCCATATTCTCTTCACTAAACAAGTCAAACATGGAATCAGAATTGTTTGAGGATGAACCAACTTTACCTTTACCTTTGACATCCCCTTTGCCTCTTGCAAATTTGGGAGCCATGTGTAATTATACTGAATCTGACTTGCATAGAAGGTGTTTGACAAAAATCTCCAACCAAATGAGTTGGAATTTAAGACAAATATGGTACCCTCACAAATTAAAATGATGTCATGGTAAGGATAGATGCACAACACATCAAGTTTACACACAATATAGAAATTTATGTATGCAAGATGCAATGGATGAGAGTAGAAGAACTAGAGACACAAAATAGTGGGTTTTGAATTGAATTAAATTTGGAATGTTGAAGTAGAAGAGAAATAATGAAGTGAGAGGAATAGGTTTTATAATTCAATTTATTTTGGTGACAAGATTTGACCGAAATTTTGATGAGAAAGTGTAAGACCCCAAATTTGTCCTACCCTTTCACTTTTATCTGGCTTATGCATTTTTTCATCTGCATACCTTTCATTAGGTCATCTAACATAACATTGCATTCAATAAAGCACCTGAGGTTCAAAGTTCATTAGTCGTGCAACATTTGGGTTTCATAGTGACTGAGATGTATATATCCAATAAATCTGATTTCATATGATTCTCCTTCAAGCATTGGATTGTGGAATTAGGGTTTTGGTTCATGGTTATTGTGGATTCTTTCTTCATCAAGGGAAGATTAATTATGGCTTTGTGATCATCATCACTTCTACTGCTTCAGGTCTTATCTTCTTCATATATTTCTCAGGAAATTCATTTTTGTGATAAGATCATTAGTTACCAATTTGAAAAGTCTTGGTGGATTGAATTGCAAAGCACAAATTATGACGAGGATGATGTTGTGGATTTACATTGTAATCAAAGCCATTGATAACATTTGTTGCTTGTAATTTACTTTTGTTTTAGATTAGAGATTGAATTTGGAATTTATCAATAATCTGAGATGATTAGATATGAAATCGATTCAAGTACCTCTGTTACTTCAACTTTTATTTAAAATTTGTCAAGGTCTCTTAAGATGAAATAATGACATTCATGATTCATTTTGAATGCAAGTAACAAGACACAAATGGAAATACATTTCTCATTCATTCCAATTCCATTCGAAGTTCATTCAAGTGTTATTTTGATACAAGTTTATCAAATGGAACAACGTTCAAAGTTTGGAAAGTTCATGGTTGTGGTATGTTTGGAACTCAAAGTCGTCAATACAAGTTCGAATTAAATTAGTACAATTCATAGCTACTCATCAAATTCCACCGAAGTCTATTCATTTAGAGGCATGTAGTATTATTCATGTTCATATTGATGCCATTCCAAGAACTTCATGGTACTCACATTGCAAGATAATTGGAAATTCGAATTTAAGGGAACAATGCATCATTCAAGATTACATCCAAGACCGTTACAATATTACACCATATTCATGATTCATTACAAGTTATATTCACAAATTACCACACACACAAAAAAAAGAAAATACAAAGTTTTGGCCAAAGACTTATTGCTTCCAATATTTAGCTTCACCCACGTTTAATCTTACCAATCTTCATTTTCATGACATGTTTTGAATCTTCACTTATTTGTAACTATGGACCATGCTTTTCCTTTATGACCATTTACCAATTGCTTTATACCCATAGCAATTCATCAACAAGTAAGCCCTGTATTCATATAAACCGGCACTATATCCACAAACTAGTTCTTGTACTAACTGATAGCTCTACATTAGTTTAAAGAAACAAATCAGGAAAATGCAAAATAGAACTAACAGTGCTAAGTGTTTTTCAAAACAAGGCTAACTAACTTGTAACAGAATATCTGAGATCCTAACTATTTTCTAACCTCTTAAATGTTTCTAACAGGAAGTTTTCAACCAACTAACCTTCTAACTGTTTCATCAACCCTCAAAAATATACAACAGATAACAGAAAGAGAGGGGGGTTCACAATTTATTCAACACTTTCATAGAGAAAATCACATAAAACAGATATCCAAAAATTCACACAGAAAAGTCTCTGAATCAGGAACAAACCTCTAATTTATTCTGAGAAAAGTCTTCTGCTCTTCATCTTCATCCTCATTGCAACTCCTTCACTTTGTATCATCAATATTCAAGAATCACAACCTCTCAACTCTCTCGGCAATCTCTCTCTCTCCAAGTCACACCATACCCTCACTGATTCGACACCAGCCTCCCGCTCTCAACAATTTCTGCACTTCACACATCTCTCCGTATCTCAGAGAAATTTGAATAACGATAGAGCAACAACACACACGGAAATCAGAACAAAAACACAAAGGCATAGAAAGAATTACAAGGGGGAAATGGAGTAGATGATAATATAATTTTGTAGAAGAGAATGAGGAGCACAAGAATCATTACCTGGAGATCTCTAGGTTTTGCTTGATTAAGCCTTTGTGGAAGAACCACTGGAGTGTCTCTGGTCGATGTGTTAGGATCCGATTTGGAGTTTGTAACAAGGACTAATGAGAACAAGGTAAAATCTACAAGGTGTTGTGAGCGAAGAAGTTGAGACAAACACGCCGGCGAGACGAAGTGAGGTGGAACCGAAGCAGAGAGATCGAGATGGAAGTAAGAGATCAGAGATTTATGGTGAAGTCGCAGCGACCATCGACCGGAAGAGGTAAGCCGCATCGTCGATAGAAGAGAAAGAGAGATGTCTCGTATCTTCCACAAAGAAAGTTGTAGGGCACACCTAATGGAACCCTAATCTTTAGTCATCGTCGTTCCATCACTTCATTTTTTATGTTTATTTTTTATTTAAATTAAATAAAGTATGTATATGTGGACCGAATCATACAGGCCCTTAGTTGTGCATTTTTTTGGTACTACAGGTCTTGGAAGCTTCTACAAAAAAGTCTTAGTGGATTGTAATTTGGGCTTAGCACCAATTCCTAGCAATACTCTTTGATTCAGTATCACACCCCTTTGGTCTTATCTTCTTAACATTCTCCCTCTCAATAATTTCTTTAATTTTCTTTTTCATAATTTTTGCCAGAAAATTAGTGATAAAAAAGGATATAAAGTCAATAAAGTTTGATAGTTTTTCTTAATCGATTTTAGGAATTAATTTTTAGTCTTTGATGGAATTTTTCCGCAGATAAAAAAACAAAAAAAAAATATTTTTCTTTTAGTTTTTAACCATATTTTTATACCGTCGTGCCTCGTTATTTTTGACGCGTTTGTTCATTGTGCAAGGTACATTTTTGGTTCTTTCGATCATGTAACATAACAAGTTGTTGTGTGATCAAAGCATATGGCTTATGCTCGCTTCTGATGCGACACGCGCCTTATTTCTCATCGTCTTGAGAAATTCATATCATATTATATGTTGTCCTGATACATGTGATATTTTGTGATGCTTTATGCATGACCTTCTGATTAAGCGTTGCATTTGCAACACGCGTTTGCTTTTATCTTAGTCGGATATCGTTTCTGACTTTGTTTGTTTCTTGATGAAGCTTGCTCGACGCGTACCCCTTGCTTCTCCATTACCTTCGTCTGCTTTCGATGACTCTCTTGCTTTTGGTAGTCGCCGCTACTACTTTTATATTTCTCTGTACTTTACCGCATTTCTTTACCGCTTTTCTAGATATCATGAGAAGTAGAGCTTTACTTCTTTTCGATGTTATGAGAAGTAGGGTAGAGATGTATGATAGGGATCTCTGTTGCTGATCATGTCACGAACCCCTCTGGTTTATTTAAAGACCCGTTTAGGGAAATTCCACATTATGTGCATTCTGTATGCTATTTGTGTTTATTTAAAACCCTACCTTTGAAGTAGGTATTCTGCAGGTGTGTTTACATTTGTGCCCGCACTACTCCCCCATCCTTTATTGAAGTCCTCAAAAGGAGGCGAGTGGAAATGGTTCTCAATAAATCCCCACAATTTCGTCTGTGTCATCCTTAGCTCGTGATGCACCATGACGCTTCAGAGTTATGCCTACTCTTATTATCGAGTCGTCAAGTGGAAAAGGGTTTCGCAATCGATCCCCCATTCTTTGCAGGAGTTTGCATTGGCCGATGTTGACACTCTGTGATTGTTCATACTGTCTTTTGTCGCCTGCCTCGATCTTTTATATCTTGGTTAGGTGTTCAGTCGCTTTGGACATCACATTTTTGTTTTACATCCTACTCCCACTTTTTTGCTTCGGGTGATCCACTCCCCTTAGTTAAAGCATTTCTCTTATTTTATATTTCACTTCCGCTTGTTTTTCTCGAGTGATCCGCTCCCCTTGACTAAATCATTTCGCTTATGTTCTTTACCATTTCATGTGTGTGCTCTCTCGAGCTTGTTTGCTTATTCGCTTTCCATACCATGTTCCCTTAGGATGTACTTGTTCCTTTTGGATGCAAGTTAGACCTTAGGTTGCAAACCATACATGCTAACATTAGGTATATGTTTTCCTTTTCTTAATCCAAACCTTAGGACTACCATTGTATGATAACATTAGGATTAGAAATAGGCTAGTCTCTCGTAGACTCTTTTCTTCCCCTTTTTCATATGCATTTAAAACTAAAACTTTAATTTTCTTAGCAAATCATAAAACATGCTAATCACACTTAAACTCTTTTTTAAGGTAACAAAACACAAACCAATCAAATGTGGCATCTTGCCTTGAGGGCGTAACTCAAAACCATTTTCAGGTAAGGACATGATTAATTTACTTTTGTGCCAACACGTGAGTCTCAAATAGTCAAGTTGCGGAAGAAGGTGGAATTAACATTGTTCATAAAAAACACAAAACAAACAAAAATATGTAAGCTGAACTGCGGTAACTCTGATTCCTTAAAAAGGATACGTAGGCATTGGGGTAGGGCCCAAGCGAGCACAACTTTATTTTTCCTGCATTATTTTCTTCTTTATTTTGCATGCATTCTTCCTCAGTAGTAAGCAATAAGCATAGATTAGACACAACCATAAGATAGATAACAAGATTGGATACTGCAGAGTACTACGGGCGTGTAGGGTGCCAATATCTTCCCCGTGCGTAACAGACTCCCTTACCCGATCTCTCGGTTGCAAGACCGTGACTTCTCCCTTCTCAGGTTTTCTCGATGTTTACCTATCCCTTCATGTGGGATAAAAGACGTTCGATGGCGACTTCATCGTCTGATGATTTTAAGCTGATTATTTCAGATGGAGACTTCACTAGGGAAAGATCGACCTAATGTTGGTCCATCCCTGAATCTATCCTAGCTCTTGTTTTCTTTTCCTTGCGTGTTTATTTTTATGTTGTACAGTTTATTCATCCATACATGATTACCTGAGAATATGTATGCATTGCATTTTACTGTTTTCCATATACTACTGTTGTACTGGATCTGCTTCTTATTGGGTGGGTGTTACTACGAGGTAAAAGGCCTAGTACCCAGGCTAGAGTGCACTATCTAGGAAACCTAGGAATAAAGTAGAACATGACGGCTATTGGACGAAGGTCCTACCAGCGTGGTCATGTCGTCTATGCTCAGATGAGGTCAAAATGAGGTGTTATCGTCATCCACGTATGTGGCTTAATGGTAGTGCTTTCAGGCAGACCCGTGATTTTGAGTTACCATTGGCTTACCCTGACCTAGTCTTTACCCGTGAGTGGGGAGGGGATAATCTTTACAGGTACTGTTGGTGACTATGTTCAGATGGTGACCGTATATTTTGTAGGTGACCATATGGTTCTCGGGTTTATTTTCTGAGTTCCTGACTTGTTTATTTGGAGGTTCATTCGGGCCTTCGATCTTGGTATTCCCAACATGTTAAGAAAAGGCTCAGAAATATCCAGTGTTCCAGAAGCCTTGATCCCATATAATTGATGATTTACATGGTACTTGGTTCTTATATGTGCGGAAGCTATGTTGGACCTCTGATCTGGTGATATTCATATGGTTCAGAATAGTGCAGTAATCATATTCATAAGGGATGGAACTTTGATCCCATGTCTTTGCATACATAACATGGTTAACCACATGCTTAACATACATGTTCTATTATTTTCAGGGAATCATATTTGTAAGTCTTGTGTTGAACTTTTTCCATCCCTTACACGTGTAAAATCAAACTCAAAGCATGTAAATTTCTTGGAAATGATGGAACATGACATGGCATCCATTCATGCACCCCATGCACATCCATGCATCCATAACAGGTACTCGGAGATTGGGGATTCTTATTCAGACTTGGTATTCTCTTTAGAGTTACAAATTTGGATTTATTATTGTACATGTTCAGAGATCAGTATGGGATAACTCCGTGGGGGATTGATCGATACGAATATCCTAATGAGGTTGATTATGGTATACATGAAAGCTTTGGCCCGTGGTCGAAAATTATTCGAGAAGGAAGATAATCAATTGAAGACTCAATTAAGCTGGGTCATGGAAACTCTAATGGTGATATCAACAATCCTACACCTATTGTCGCAGCAAGCTCTCGCTTCTCCTTATCTTTTGGGAATTGCTTTCAACCATGGAGTTCTACACAATCTTGAGTTCTTGTAACATCTTATCAGTAGATGATTCCCATTTACTACGTGAATTCAAGAAACTTGTTTTACCAGCAAGATTAGAATACACCTAAAGAAGAGTTGATCTTATATCAGTGCTTCGTTCTCATTGGTTCCCACACTTCTTTGAGCTTCAGCGGGTTAGGCCTCGTACTTCGGTACCATCTATAATTTCCTTTCCAGATCATGATACAAACATCAGATGTGGTTACCACACCAGGGTATCTGACTATTCAATAATGGGCATTCTCCACAACTTTGTGTTCCCTGATATGTTTGACAGCAGCCAGTCTTTGTTCCCCAAGTGAATTCATGGGGTAAAGCTTTTAAGCAAAGACAAAAGAAGCCTGATAAGCATGTTGATGCAATCCCAATGCATTACATCTAGTTATTTCCTTTCCTGGTGAAAGTTCAATCGGTAAAGCTCTGATATTTGGGGTCCTCCTCCTACAAACATCTCTTTTAATTGTGATACACATCTTATATGTATCCCCTATTATGGGGCACCCGGCTTTGATATTGAAGACTGTAAAGGGGTTGAAGTATAAAGCCCAGTGCCTGTCTGGCGTCTCTTCCAAAAGTCCAATTCCTATTTGTCCAACTGCAAGACTCTTTCTCACCAGCTGAGTGTCTCTTCTATTATGATCAAAGACAAATTGTATTGTTTCTTTATGGCATAAGATGATGGGTGATGCAGTTCATACCAATTCGCTTGGTAAAGCATTCATTAGTTCTCCTAAAAGAATCTTATATGCATATTATTCTGGGGCACCTGGCCATTCGATTGAAGATGGTATGTCATCCATAAACAAGGTCTAATATGGGCTCAATTCAGAGACGGTTGTGTTCACATCAGATCAGAAGGAGAATTCTCTTGCCCATTTAAGCATCAAGACTGCAGAAAGTCGTCAGAATGAAGAAGTCCATACGGAGTCAAGTCTCCTCAACGATGGCAATCATTGGTTTCTTTATTTCATTTTCATTTGTATTCTTGCTTGTTTGTTTAAACATTGCTTGCATGTAAAAACCTGTCTATTTTTGAATGAAAATCTTAATGCAATAAGTATGCTTGTCTTGAAGTGTTCCTTTTGTTTTTATTCATCCATTCATTATCACTCTTTAAATGTTTTACTTTCA